GAGCGACTGGCGTTTTTTCACAACATGCTCATGGACTGTCAGGACCTGGAATTTACGCGGACTTTGTACTTAGATTAACCGACAATTCCATCCGAAGCAACTGTTCATTTTAGCCATTTTTTACAGCTAAAGATATTTTACCAAAGCGATTCAAGTTAAGTTCCACACCTATAAATTTCCACCACCCTTGGTCGTATGGGATTAAAGATCCTGATTCTGATTCTACCACCTCCTGCTCCTTGGACGAGAGCTACGCTTGAGATGTATGATCTGCCTCACTTCTATGTCACTTTTGACAACATAAATAAATGCAAATAATGAGGTCAGCTGTGCGCCCACTTGGCAACTAGCCCTAGCAACAATGTTAAAGGAATCTAGTCTGAGGTAATCGATCCATGCACTTACAGTTATTTAATCTGCCGACTTGGCCATCCGCAAACAGGCAGATGTTTGTGATTTGGATCTCGGGGAGTGAGGGACGCGCATGACAGGGAAGGGGCCCCGATTTCCCCCAGTGAGTGCTGGGATGGAGTTGCCGCCTCGTTCATTTTCAAGAACCAGGAAAACCTGTCCTGTGGGGGGCACAGACAGTCTTAATGCCCCCCCCCCCCCCCCCCCCCCCCCCCCCCCCCCCCCCCCCATCTCCCCCCTGGCGCAGGGGATTGCCCCCCCCCCCCCTCCAAAAAAATAAAAACTCCTCCACCCCAGCTGAAGCTAGGCTTCCAGGCCACATGGGGTGTTCAGACACAATGGGAAGGAAAGGGGGCGGGGCAAAGGCTTCCCTTTAATGATCACATGATAAGCTTTGTCACTGCGCCATAGACAGGCTCCGGGTAGGAAAGGGAGGGAGGGCCGGCCCACAGCTCTGCAACCACTTTCAACGGCAGAGAGCAGCTGAAACCAACAGGGGGCGGGGGGGGAACCCCCACTAATGGCATGTATGTCAGTGAGGCAGTTGAAAAGCTGCAGTAGGTGGCTGTTCCCTCAGAAGCAGAGCCTGTCGCTGGCCGCTGCATAAGCTCGCCGTTAACCCTCCACCCTGTACGCCACAAAGCGGAGCCTGACGTGAGCGAGGACGAGGAGGAAGAGCACGCCGCTGGCAGCTGAGATCCTTAACAGAGCTTTCAAAATACTTTGCATTTTTCTTCTTTTTCACTGATCGTTGGGAGGAAGAAACTTTTATTTATCAATGTTGGGGACAATAACTCTCACAGGTAAGAGATGGTTTGATGGCACTGGTTTGATGGCACTGGGATGCGCTCGCTGCCGGAACAAGGAGATGCTAAAGTTTAGTGAGCAGATGTTTGCTGTGATTATCATGTCCACTGTAAGTTTGGCATAAGCTTTCTATATGGTTACTAAGTAGTTTAAAGAACAGCCGAGTTGTAACCCTAAAAACCGCAGCCGGTATGAAGCAGCTGAAGACTTTGGTGGCTTCAGGGTGTGGTTTATAGAAATGCTTTACAGCTCCTCTCCTGCACATCTCTGCTGCTTCTCTATTTCTCCGGCAGCCCCTTTGATTTATCAGTGTAATTTCTCAGGGTGACTTAAGGTACTTTTTAAATAGTTTTAAGTTTTAAGACTATTCATCTACGGCTTTGAGACCATGGAAAGTCACTAAACTTTGCATCCCTGTGGAATATATTATTAGAAGAGAATATCTTTTTTGTCATTGTGCATTTACAGCCTTTACAGCAACTCTATGTGCTTCTTCTACAAATGCTACATATTATATATAAAAACAATAATTATTAAAAAAGTGAAATTAAATGGGTTACTGCTTCCCTACATATTACATATATCTAAAGTCATTATTCCCACTCTAGATATGATATTTAGCAAAGCAGTAACCCATTTTATTTCACTTTCTAAACTTTAAGTCATTATTAAGTCATTACCGCCACTCAGGTGACAATACAAGCCTGTGTATGTACTGAAATGTGGAGAGGGAAGCCTGCTGTTCCACAGCGAGAGAGCGCACGTCTTAAACCTGCTCATCAAAGTTATGGTCCCACTCTGATGATGGATGATGTTCAACATACTCCCACCTTAAATCAGCCATTAATGACGACAACATTTAAAGACCATGTTTGGTCTGCCTGGTCTCTGGGGAACTGCCTGCTTGCCAGTTGGCGAGTGCAGTGCTGAATGTGTAATTGATTGTGAAATAGCGACGTAATCGAATCGGGGAGCCGCCGTGCGCGGGAGGGAGGCTCTGATTGTGGCTGTGTGTATAATCAGCTAATGCCAAGCCTTTGTTAGCATTCATTCATGATTATCTAACTGTATAAACAGGTAAAATGGAAGCTCCATATGGTAATGAAATTAAAACATCTTCTGTAAGCAAGTTTAGAGTGATGACACTTCTCAGGACCACACCTAACTGAGCAGACCTGCCCAAGTGGGTTCCTTCGGTACAGCCAGAGGCAAAAAAACGGCATGGGGCTCTGGGGAGCTCTCCCACGCGCCTCACTATTGTGGCGGTTTTCTGGAACCTCTGGTGTTCTTACTCCTCGCCCAATCGGCATGTTCGCTCTGTCGCCATCCTGTTCAGTCCTCGTTCGTGTCGCCAGCTGTTGCCCACAGTTGTATTAACGTCAGGGCAGGAATTCCTCCCTAAAGAAACTGCTGCCGTTTCCCTCATAATAAATATCAACTCCGCGGTCCATAAAACAACACGTTAATGAGCCCCTAGCTATTCAGATTTACCATCCGGGTCAAAGCACCCCCTTATCTCTTCAAAGTGCTGTTTGCTTGTTTTATAGTCTGGCTTCTTTAGTTTGTGTTCGGCTGTTTGCCTATCAATGGCCTGGCATAACAAAGTAACAACTATCTTAATAATGGCAAGTATGTGTAAGAGTGACTATGGCTTACAAGGGGGTGCTTGAGGGGTGGGGTCCTGCCTTGGTTACACTCGGGCGTCTAGTAGATGCCTGTGGGGAGGCGGCTGCTTTATAGCCGTTACTGCAGACTCTTATAAGTGTCTCCCACAAAGTTTTTTTTTTTTAATCGTGGTTTGCAGTAACCCGGCCGTGGGACAGCTGTGGTCCACCCCTGGTTCTGATACTTGTGGTAGAACTTGAGAACTGACTGGGCCAAGAACGGACACACAGGACAACTGTATCTGTGTTGTGGGGGGCAGGGGTGAGGACAGAGGCGTCTGCAGCTGTGATGCGGGCCGAGGGGATGCATTACAGAATGCCAGTGGTCCTCGTAAGGTTAAGTCCTCCAGTTTGTTTATCCACAGAGCTTACAGCTCCATGCCTTAATTGTTAGTTTGCCTGGATGTTTTGCTGAGGCTTAACCACCCGTCTGTGCCTTGTCAGTCAAACCACTGAGCTGCTTTCTGAGAATAATTCAAAAGCGCCTAAAGACGAAACTGCTGCCGCACCATGTGACCAGGGTACCTAACACCTATTAACCTTAGCTGGTTAACTAGGTTAACTAGCCGATCTGGAAGTTTAATGTCACTTTTAGCGAGAAGGAAACCAAACACTTATTTGTGTAATTCTTGTCTATTAATGTTGGGATAGGTTATGAAACTTCAAATTATAAATTTAGACAGATAATTAAACTATGGAACCAGAGCCCTCTATAAACAGCTGCAGTACCAGAAAGTGCTTTGACTTATAGGTGTGAGACTTAAACAAATATTTCAGGGATTACACTGTTTGAACATCACTCAGTGATTTCAATTATTAATTAAATACACATTTTTGCTGTTTGCACAGAACCTCTCAGATCAGTATTTCCTTTATAAGAATATTTTGGTTGCTTTTCAGGTTAAGGCTGAGGAATTTTAAGTGCAGTGTGGTGAGTGCCATTGTGCAAAATCACACAAAGGGTTCTATAGGGTTAAATGCTACAGAAAGGGGAAATGGGGAATATGGTTAGGTGTTAATTATGTGGCCATAGCCTCATAGTCAGTGGAGTGATAGACCAATTTGCGAATTGGTAATTGGTCGGAGATTAAGGATGTGTAAGGTGATATTCGGAGAATTTGTAATTGTGGAATTCTTGGAATTTGTATGCTTGGGACGGGG